CCGCGAAGGATGGTGTCCATCATCCGTTCGAAGGTAGCTGGGGCGTTGCAGAGTCCAAACGGCATGACGTTAAACTCATACAGCCCATCAGGTGTTACAAATGCAGTCTTCGATTGGTCAGGATCAGCCATTGGAACTTGCCAATATCCTGAGCGCAAATCTAAAGAGGAGAAATATTCTGCCCCTTGCAAGCAATCGAGAGCGTCGTCGATGCGTGGCAACGGGTACACATCCTTCCGAGTTATCTTATTGAGCCGGCGGTAGTCGACACAGAATCGGATAGACCCATTCTTTTTGCGCACAAGTACAACAGGGGACGACCAAGGGCTCTGTGATGGCTGGATGACACCACGCTTGAGCATATCGTCGACTTGTTCGTTGATAATACGGCGCTCTTCCGCTGAAACTCGATATGGTCGTTGGCGTAAGGGAGCATGAGTACCGGTGTCAATGTGGTGCGTGATGTTCGCTGTGCGACCCAAAGATGGTTGAGCGCAATCGAAGGCAGAACGGAACTCTCGAAGAAGGAACAAGAGTTCGCTTCTTTGTATCGGCGATAGCTCAGCGGCAACAGAGGGCTGGAATGAGTCTTGCGCGGGCAGTGTGGCCACAGGTGGCGTCATAGCATTGAGCTGGAGGTGAGGTGCGTGTTCGGCGAACTCTAGAGGGCGCAAGAGGTCAACGTCTTGTATGTTACCCAAACATTCTCCGCGAAGTAAGGTAACTGGCGACGATAGCGAGTTTGCGACGAGCATGGCGGTAGCACCGGATTCCACGGTGAGTACGGCAAAGGGCAGGTGTAGGCTACGGCGGCGGGTAAATACGTCAGACGGAGTGAACAAAACAGTTCCGGCAGGAGCGGCCGTACAGGTCAGGGCTACAAGGGCGGATGTTCTCGGTGCTATTTCCGTGTCTGCAACAACGACAAGTTTGTAAGCTTCAGAAAGAGAATCCACCAAACAAGAGGTTGGCAGCGGTGTAAGGGCAACTTCTGCACGTGAGCAATCTATGATGGCCCGATGACGCGAAAGAAAGTCCCATCCAAGAATGACTTCGTGGGAGCAGGATGCCAGCTCAAAAAATTCAATTGCATAAAGTTCACCTTGGATAATGACACGTGCAGTGCACACAGCTGTAGGTTCTATGCACTGCGAGTTGGCCGTGTGGAGCATCAGGCCCGAAAGAGGCGTCGTCACTTTTTTCAACTTGCGGCATAAGGTCTCACAGATTATGGAAACGGCGGCCCCTGTGTCGATAAGCGCTTGTGCGGTGGTCCCCTCAACATTGACGTCAATAACGTTTTGCGGCGAGAAAGATGGAGGCCTTAAGCAGTTCGAATTGTATGCAGCTGTTGCCTCCGGAGCTGCAGCGATCAGTTTCCCTCTTCCGTAGCAGGTCGGCGACGCATAGGTGACAGGGAGCGTCGTCGTGGCGATGGTGACCGATGGTTTGCGTAGGCTCGAGGACCGTCAGTGGTGTACCTTGATGGCGTCCTAGACGACGACGCCATTGGCCTGCCCACGGTGTCGACTGGAGGGGGATCTCGGCGACAGTGGCGGGCGACGTGTCCAGCGATACCACAGGCGAAACAGATGGGCCTATTATCCGGCGTCCTCCAAGCGTCTGAGCGACGGTAAAATGGAGCTGAAGATCTCGCGTAGGAATATGGCGCCGCAATTGGGGTTGTAGGCACGACATAGGGTGGCGTGGCAGGTTGGCATATGGCATACGCTGTTGCGTAGGCCGAGCAGTGACGGCGGCGTACGTGAGAGGCGTTGTGACTGGTGGTTGCTGATGCACCGGCGGAAGGGCTTCAGCGACTTGGGTCCGAATGACGTGTTGGAGGTCCGGTGCCAAAGCTTGCCTAGGCTCATGTGTCAGTGGCAGCAGCGACAGCTGGCGTGCTACCTCTTCGCGGACGAAGTCCTTGATTGTCGAAAGCAGCGGCTGCTGGTCGGTAGGATGGGCAGCTAGGTGCAAGCTTGCGAGCGTGTCTGGCGTCGTGAGGGCTTGACGAGCAATTGCGCGCTGCCTACGCAATTCATCGAAGCTTTGACAGAGGGAAACGAGGACAGCAATGGTGGGGGGATTTCTCGCGAGCAACATCTGAAAGGCGCCGTCGTCAATGCCTTTCAATATGTGCCTGATTTTTTCTTCCTCAGGCATGGTAGAGTTGATGCGGTTGCATAGATGCAACACATCTTCAATGTAGCCCGTGTAGGTCTCGCCTGGTTGCTGCGCACGGTGACGTAAACGGTGCTCGGCTTGAAGCTTGCGTGCCGCAGGTCGTCCAAAGACGTCCGTAATAGCCGTCTTGAATGCAGACCACGTAGTAATGTCAGCTGCGTGGTTATTAAACCACAGTTGTGCGGTGTCCGCAAGGTAGAATGTGACGTAGCCCAGCTTACTTGGGTCGTCCCATTTGTTACTTGCGCCGACTTTGTCGTACCTCGCCAACCAATCTTCGACGTCCGACTCAGTGGAGCCCGTGAAGATAGGAGGGTCTCGTTGAGGATACACGGCACCGCAAGTGACATGGACGGTCGAAGGTCCCACCTGGAGAGGCGTCTCGGTGGCCATGTTCGTGTCACGTAGAGGGGGAAGCTTACGGGAGCGAAGTTCCAGGTTTGTACGGGAGTCCACACACCTGCACCAGATGTCACGCAGTTTATTTACGTACAGACCTACTGGCAGGCCGAGGAACGCCAGAAGAGTGAGGAACGCCAACAGGCCGAAAATACAAAACAAACGCAAGCTCGGGTCGTGCGTGCACCAACGCTGTGGCTTGCCGTTTCATGCTGCTTCGTCGTCGTTCGCATAGTTCCATACACTTCCTTTTTTCTTCTTTCCTTCCTTCTGTCCTTCCGTCCTTGCTTCCCTCCTTCCTTCCTTCCTTTCTTCCTTGCTTCCTTCCTTTTTTTCTTCTTTCCATCCTTCTGTCCTTCCGCCCTTCCTTCCCTCCTTCCTTCCTTGCTTCCTTCCTTCCTTCCTTCCTTCCGTCCTTGCTTCCTTGCTTCCTTCCTTTGTTTCTTTCATTCTTTCTTTCTTTCTTCCTTCCTTCCTTCCTTCCTTCCTTCCTTTCTTTTTTTCTTCCTTCCTTCCTTCCTTCCTTCCTTCCTTCCTTCCTTCCTTCCTTCCTTCCTTCCTTCCTTCCTTCTGCACTACTGCAGGAGAGCTGAATTCAGAACGCTGATATTTAGCGCAAGCTACGTTACAGTGCAACAAATCCTACAATCCAACTCCAGGTATGACATTACCTAAACAAAGAAACACGTACGTACATGCCAGTGCCGTCATAGGTAAGCAGGCATGCCAGCACGCAAACACACACCAACACACACATACACACACAGAGAGACACTCTCTCTGCGGTTAGGTCCTCTTGGCATATAAAAACTGGATCAACAAGCCCTTAAATCTGAACAATGTTCCCATGATGCAATTGCAACTTGCTTTGCCGCGGTTCTCTAGTGGTTATGTACTCGGCTGCTAAACTGCAGGTCACGGGATTGAATCCCAGCTGTGGCGACTGCATTTTCTATGAGAACGAAAATGCTGCAGGCCTGTGTGCTCAGATTTGGGTGAACGTTAAAGAACCCAAGGTGGTCGACATTTCCGAAACCTTCCACTACTGTGTCTCTCATAATATTATGGTCGTTTTGAGACCTTAAATCGCACATATATATCAATCAATCAGCAATTGCAACTTTGCTCCTACCGTACCTAATCTCTATCATTTCCCCACTACGTCATAGAAGGTCTTATTGGGCTGGTGAAATTGAATACATTTGAGAATGTTCTACACGCTAATTCGCGCGTTCTAACTCTTGGCGTTTCTACAACGCCAGGGAGTGTTATCGAGCTCTCATAGCGCTACTACTGTGTGGAATGGCAAAACATTTTGTTTCTTCTGGTTTGTCTTGCTGTGTTTTTTTAGACTTCTTATGAGCAGCTCCCTACATTTTTCAAACTGCGTTATGACTTTTTCCTTGACATCTATGGATAATTGATATTTACTCAAGTAGCAAGTATTCTTTTGAACTGTATGTCCAACGAAATACTTTTTGCTGTTTCTACCTAATCTAAAGAAATAAGCTCTTTTGCTGGCACTAGCGCGAGGGGCAGTATTGAGGGCCTTTGTTAAGCACAGAGCAGTGAAGCAGCGCACTATGTATATAATGATGAGTAATGATATAACAGGAGCCACGCTTACTTTCACATCGGAGGACAGTTTAAATAAGGGGTGTCGCAAAAAAAGCGTTGTTGAATATACATGCATGGTCCAGCTAAGCTGATCTGTGTAAAACTCCTGGTACAGGTTACCTACCCGTCACACCGAGATATAGTTTACACTATCGCGGTACGAAGCAATGGCAGTTCGTTTGAATTTGCCCTCGCTTACATACGAGGCTTTGCCCTACTTCGTCCTTCAGCCACGAATCAAAATGGCACGTGAATACGAGGCACGTAACTCAGTTATGAGGCTCTGTTTCGCTGACTGTGAAAGAGAACCCATGAATTTAAACGGAAACCGAACACACCTTTCAAGCATGGTCCATAGATGAAATCTGGCCTCTAAGCGACGAGAACAGCGAACCTCCCAGAGTGGGAAACAGCCTGAAATGTGTACAACTATCTGTGTAGGCGGTTGTTATATGGCATTCCGGTGAGAACGCGTGTGTAGCTAGCATAGTTTTAGTCAAAAGCTAAAATAACTCAATGGAAGTATTTCTTACAGTTTCTGTGACTCAAATTTCATTTGTAGTGGACAATACGATCGTAAATATTCATCTAACATCTCACTGACCACAGTACGTCAGTTGCAGCCTCCTTCATGTGTAAGTGTGCGATGTTAAACACATAGGTATTTTACTTTGATTTACTTAATTTTTCCAAGGTGAAACTGACTACTGGGAAATAGTTTATGAATAGAAATTTCAGAAGTAAATGCAGGTGCCATACTAGGCACAACAGAAGAACGCGAAGAAAAGGTAGAAATGGTAATGGTCAAAATCAGATATTTATTGGCAAACCCGTATTGCAGACTTTCGAGTTGGTACCGAACTCCTTCATTCTTTATCCTCGCCAATGACGTCGCTGCGCTGAGCGGTAGCTCTTATAAAACAGTGCATGAAGCAATATCTGTCTTATTGATGCATAACGTAGAAGTCAGAAATTTTCAACCGTAGAATCCACGTCCGTAGCCACCGAATCCACGTCCAAATCCACCGTAGCCACCGAATCCACGTCCAAATCCACCGTAGCCTCCTCCGAATCCACGACCGAATCCCCCGTATCCTCCTCCGAAGCCGCGGCCGAAGCCTCCGTATCCTCCATAGCCGCGACCGAACCCACCGTAGCCAAACTGGGCGAATGCCAAGCTGCACAGGGCGAGCAGGACGGCGAGAGAGAGAAGGGCGGTTTTGCTGCTAACAACCATGGCGGCTTGTTGCTTCGTCGCTTCAAAAGTCTGCGGCGAAACAAAAAGAGAAACATTCAGTCACAATTCAATTGTAGCAGACAAGTGGATTGACTGTAGTAATGTTTAATGCTGAACTGTATTGACGAGTTCAATTCATTGTTTTGATTTTATTAGTTCAACCTACGAACATAATATAATTACAAGCGTTCAAGAGAACATAAAGTACTTCTCTTCTACACTTCTTAACATCAGATGCCGTATTGACTACACCTTCTTTCGTACAAACTCTCCGGAGAAATCAACGTAGCCTGCATCACAATTGCAAAAAGCTCTGACGAAATAATAATTAAACCTATGCTTAAAATTTTTGCATCGAGATGACGATGTCGTTTAACTTCATTTCATTGATTGTACCTTTAAGGCCGAAGCATTACAGAGAGGAGTGGTTACAATCAGTATTATAAAAATCAGAAAATTGAACAACAAAAATTTACGATTTGAACAGTATTACGCAAATGAAAGACAACACAATAATCAGCAGCTAAAACTAGTTAATTATTATTAGTTGAAACTGCCCAATAAATTGGATGCTTAGTAATGTCTGCGGTAAGAGAAGAAAGGTGATTCCGTTCCTCGCAAGTTGAAAGAAAAAAATAATTATGGAAAGTGGATGTCCTGCAAACGGAAACCGCAACCTTATGTCGGTGATCATTGCGTGACCATACATACTCAGAAGGTGGGATAAAGACATTGCGCAATGAGCGATGGTGAAATATGCAATGAAAAAGACACAAATGTAACAATTTGTGGGGAGGTAACAATGATGTTAGAGGTTCGCTTTCATATTAGTTACACTTGGGGTTCGTCTATAGGCAATGAATCGTGTTGATTGTTCTGAATAATTTCAAGTGAGTAAGTAAGGTTACCATGGAATGGATCCCAAACTGAGGTGGTGAATTCGGGCTTTGAGCGAATTAGAGTTTTACGCAAAAAAAAAAAAAAAAAACTCTATAGCAGAAGGAGCACAGGAAAAAGTGCTTCTAAGGCCACCGAGTGTTTTCTTCGCGCTATAATATATGGAATGAATGTGTTCATTCAACATTTGTTTCGATAATATAGCTACACCGACATATATTTAAGAAGATACTACTTCCAGAGGAGAGTTGTCAAGAATATATAAAACTGACATATTAGTAAATCGAATCAGGTGAATGACTTTGCATCTTTCAGTGTTTTATTCCGTGAAGTAGTTTTCACAATACATAGGTATAATCCACCGAAATTTGATTGTAAAGTAAAAGAGTCATGAGGGCTGGTTATTTCTTGAATTAGTACTCAGTCCTCGGCGAAAAGGTAATACGAGACCAGACAACAAGGTAAACTATTGATGTAGATTAAAAAGAGAAGAGGGCTGACTACCGGTTCCTGTGGCACACAGGAGCATACAAGACTCAGAGGAGAGACAGTTTTGGTAGCAGAGACGCACTGAGAACGATTTGTAAAAAAATCATTCAAGCCATGGGCGCAAGAAGATGAGAATCCGAACTTAGGAATTATAGTTCATACAAAAGTAGGTTATGGAACACTTTCTCAAAGATTTTCAAAGATTTTAAAAATATAGACTCTGTTAGAGATGAGCGATTGAAAAACAGTTGGTCGCTTTCCCGCATCACTGTTGCTGCACACAATTCTTGAGCTACCTAGCTATTATTAGTGCACAGCGTCCAGACTCTATTCTGTAAGGGTGTCAGCAGTAGTGTCATACTTCTACGTATGAAGTACACAATGAATCTCTACAATGTTGAAAGTGTTACTTGACTGCAAAAAGGAATTCGGAGTGCCAAACAGACAAGCCTAGTGGTACGAGTGTCACGTAATCACCGTCACATAAATAGTGGAACAAATATTTCACTACGGGAAACGAGAAAAACGTACCTTAATGAAGCCTTCTATTGAAAGTGTTTCATGCACGGTATTCTTGCTGCACTTCCTTTAAGCCATGGCCAAACATGAATGATTGTTACACTCCGATGATGCTTAGACGTGGTAGGTATGGCGAAGTGACTATCGCGATGGTTGACCAGTGGTGCCCGCACGAACTCACCTGGACTGGGAGCTTGCCTCGAGGCGTTGTGGTGATTGACCGGACGTCGGTGTCCGCTTTTATAGGGACGGTGAGAGGTTGGACGCGAGACCGCGTGTCAACCGGGCCGGGCCCGTAGCTGTGCCAAGGCCGGCAGCCGCTCACCTGTGGAAAGGGCGCACCCGCAAGATCGCTTGCTGTCCCTCCTTTCCGACACCCTTTAGGTTCACTCTTTCCCATTACGGCTATTACGAAAAACTTGGGCTGATTGCTCACCAATATGCACTAGGACAAAAAGAAACAAAGAAGAAACAGTTAAAAAAAAGCTATGTATTGGAGACTCATCCTCATCAATCTTGATACCGATAGCACACAAGCAGCTCATAGAAATGAAATTCCGATGAATTTAGGAGGCACTCAGGATGGCACAGTTTTACGAGAACGAGAGCTCAATAAAAATTCATTCATTCCTTTTAGGGATGTGATAATAATTGAAAACTTTTAGTGACAACTTGAAAAAGGGTTCGGTGTGGTGCTCAGGCGAATAACACACATTAGAACGAGGGGATATTTTCAAAATACTTTTCTAACAATCGTCACTGACAAAAACCGCAAGGAAACAACAAGCTGAAACATTGAAGGAGAACTCGTTTTCGGTATCGGAATATCAAGGTGCTCTCAGCCCAACCTTTTACGGGACCATCGATGCTGTGCTAATCAGAGATATCAGAGATGAAGTTGCTAGTAGATACGAAGCATTTTTTGCGCGCTGTAGGCACTTTGAGAATCTATCTATCCATCTATCTATCTATCCATCTATCTATCTATCTATCTATCTATCTATCTATCTATCTATCTATCTATCTATCTATCTATCTATCTATCTATCTATCTATCTATCTATCTATCTATCTATCTATCTATCTATCTATCTATCTATCTATCTATCTATCTATCTATCTATCTATCTATCTATCTATCGAGCCACTTACGTCTGGGTGCTCCCATGATCACCCTTAACTTTGATTGATACGTGGGGTTTAACGTCCCAAAAGCACCATATGATTATGAAAGATGCCGTAGGTAGAGGACTTAATTAGTGATAACGCGTGAGTGTAAAAAAAAGTTTACTTTGGCAGCGTTAACCTGGTGGATGAATAGAATAAATGCCAGGTTCGCAGCACAAATCTAACCCAAGAATTCTGCTTGGCAACCAAATATTCTACCACAGAGCCACAGGATTTTTCTTTATTACCTGCCTTTGGTTATCGACATATAACGCCACCAATATTTACAGTAAAATCACACAAAGTACAAACCATCGTTGTGCTGGTATTTTCGGGTAAAATTCGGGTAATGCCGCAAGCAGCGTTACCCTTGAAAGCCAATCTGGTGGTTGTTGTGAAGTTTCATAAATATCAAGAAACCAATCAACACTGTCTTGAAAATTCGCTCGCGCAGGGCGAGCATCTTTGTCAAAATCATAGCCTGTCATCCTTGATCTCCACAAAGAGTGGAGGCCCACCAGCATAATCGGGTCAAAAGGTACCCCATCTTCGTTGCGAAAAATTAGGAACCACATTCCGTATGGGCCTAGAAGTAGCCCTTTCTTCATGGCTCGCTGCAGCACACATCAAAAGCCCCTTCCCACCAATGCAAAAACTCATGATCAATAGCTTCCGGTGACTTACAGATTGAAGAATTCGTTCACCAAGACAAAAAAATAACAACCCTTTTTTCACAAAATTATTTTACTGTCAAAGTGCCCGAATGCAATTTGAAGAAAAAAGACTTAGCGCTAGGCTGCAGATGCACTTTCTTAATTCTTTTTAAAAGGTTGCTTTCTGGGCCTGCACTGTACAAGGACCAGTAAAGCGGCACAGGAAAAACAATTTTAGTTAAAACAAAAAAAGTTTTTTACGCTTAACACTAGATAAATATTGTTCAGAAAATTGCACTAATATTATTCTTGCATTGGGAACTATTTCTTTGGAAAATCCTCCCATCTCTCCCACACAATCGTCGGTCGGCACGACAAATTTTGGTACAAGTCTCCTCAGTCGTATTAGTATGAGTGTATATAATAGCGGATCTGTCACGTCTCTACAAAAAAAAACCGATAAACCAGCTGACGTAAAAAGAGGTAGTGCAAGCGAAGCCTCCCATTCTTTACACGCCTAAGCAAGTTGGTATGGCTGCACCATTTTCATTCACACGCCCAGACAGACGTGATTATTATACTGTGGAATTTCGGCACGTACGTTTGTCCGTCAGCAGTGCAGCGCCTGCCACACATATCATAGATTTCTCGTGAAAAAGACGTTGCAAAGATCAATAAGGCAGCGGCTTTCCATTTCACCGCTTTCTTCTGTAGATCTTTCACCTGCCTTTTCCAGTATTCGGCACTGTTGCGATAACAATCGAGCAGAAAGCCCAATTATCAGCCTGGTGTTGTTGCCGAAAGCATGTTGGCGAAATCGCCTGGCTTTGCTGCCTACGATTCATGCCATAGCCCGAGGCACTTGGCCCAGTTCACGCCACTCCCAGTAGCTTGGCTAAACTGACGCACGATTGCAATGGCCTTCGTATTACTGCGAGTATTTCTGGTAAAAATCGCAATGTCGTCTTCATATGGTAGGAACTTAACTTCAGCTGCTTGTAAATAGAAACTACAGATGCTAATCTGGCTGAATAATTTCATGCACAGAGTTTCTAATGTACACGCAAAATAACAAGGGGGCTTTAAGGAACAACCCTGACGAACCGCACGCCGCCTACTAATGGAGGCCTCCAGACTTTTATTTACATCTACCTTGTTGAACAACAGTTTCGGTATTGCTGTCAGAAAATCCACTATATATTGAGGTGCAATGTTGCTGAAACGTGCATTGTGGGTGCAATGCTGAATATCCAATTTTATAAACAAATGTACTCCTGTGATACACCCGCCTTGTCGGGTTAACGTCGGTTCTAGTTAGCTGCCATCCACTGAAGTTATTTACGTAGAAGTGTCCAGGGCTACCATCCTCGATAGCACAAGTGTTACATATCAGCTTACCGCTTCTCGTGTTTGTCATACTGATGTTGTTGTTGGCATCGTTGCGCAGGTGCAAATGATTGGCTATATACGTGTCTGCAAGTGTTCAACATATGTCTGTGCGTGCAAGTTTGTAAATATATTTAGCGTACTTTTAAAACTCGTCGCTCAGTAAAAAAAAAAAAAAACACAACACGGTCCCCTTCCCTCCACATCCTTTGCATAACGTCTATTGCCAAGGTACGTCGGTTCTGCTGATTTCGCAAAGAACATTCCTTTGGCCCTACACATTTGTTTGATAAGTCGGCAGATTCCTAAAGGTTTTCACTACATATGGTGTGACACTAGTTGAACATAAGAAGAATTCATGGAACACGACAGCTGATAAAGCACCCCATTTCGGTATCATCGTTAGATCTTGATAAACAAGGGTATTTATTTTCGCATCTGCACAAAATGTACCAATCTTTTTAGGGGTGAATATTTGAAAATGATGAGCTCATACCTACACTGTAGTTCAAACACGTGCAAGTATTTCATGCTCTAAAAGCGATCTTAAATTGTAACGCACGCTTTCATATGCAAGGAGTGTGCGATATCTGGAATGAAGGCTGCTGATAAGCACAATGCACTGCACCGTAATTTTACCTCATTTTCCTCAATTGTCGAGGCCGAGTGCTGCACAAGAGTGATCAAGAAACGTGTGCATTGTGAAGGTCGTAATTTGAAAATATGACTTCGGAACGATTCCATCCCGGTGACCAAGAATGCAAAGGCTGGTAATTAAATCCCTAGAGTCACCGCTAGCCCGTGACGTGCGGAGGAACTTGTGAGATAAAGTGCGCGTTTCAAGGGCTCAGACTCGGCATTTAGCAGCTCTAGTACTGTGCGCTCTAGAATGCACTGTGTCCACTTCGTGAATCATTTTTACTTGTTTTATATATACTGAAACCAACAAAATCAGGTAAGTTCCTTGCTGGAAAAGCTTTGCTGAAAAGTTCGTGGGAGCTTATAGTTCGAGCAAAGCATTCGATGAGATAAAACTTGCTCAAATAAATCTGCAAAGCGGAGTTAAAGTGTTACGATGTTATTGTGCATACTTCAGAAGGGAGAACTTGTAATTCTAAAAAAAAAACAAGGTTTATGTGTGCTATTAGGTAAAGCTGAACTTCTTCGATATATCCCATGAATGATGCTAGTTACATAAGTAATACTATCCATAATATAAATATTATTAACAGTTTGGGTTTGACGTCCAAATGCGCGATATAATTGCGAGATGCCGTACAGCTGGCCTACCAAATTTTCGGCCACATGGGGTTCTTTAACTTGCACCTTAATCTAAGTACACGAGTCTTCAACATTTTCCCCTCCCTAGAAAATGCAGCCGCCCCAGCTGGGTGTCGATCTTGCGACCCGATGGCCCCTGGAGCATCATGTGTTCTATTATCAGATTACATCCTTGTAAAGCTGATGTACTGCCGAGCCACAGCAAACCCTGAAATATCATCATTACTGTTCTCGTAAAATGGCATGTTTACGATAGAATCCATTATGCATAGAAATGATTGAACACTCAGTGCTTGGGTATTAATCGGCAGAAAATGTCCTGAGCACATCTAAAGTCTGCTCGGTGGCTACATTGTTCAGAAATGCATCTTAGGATCCCAAGATGAACTAAGGAGCCATTCGATTCATGATAATTTACGCCCTCCGTTTGGACTGCTGCGCATAAAACCAATTCCGACGAGGCGTAAGATCTGCCTTCCCTCTCTCCCTCACCCCCCTTTCTTCATGTGCGTCTGCTCTAACGGCTTCACTAGCTCTAACATATCTTTTTGTTGAGTGAAGTACTGCGAATAATAAACTTTTTGAAAAGGAAATATGGCTGCCGATGAATTTCGCAGCACCGGTGCGTTCGTAATATATGTGAAACACTCGTGTACTAGTTCCATATATCCGCCTATTTCAAGCACATGTCCACTGTTAGAGGACTTTGCGTCACTGAATGTCGAACCAGAGAATTTCCGATGGGGTTAGGCCTTCCAAAGCAATACGTAAGCTATAACTCAAAACTGCAGCACCGCATGTAAGATGAAGAGCGTTTGCACAAATCAAAAAAATCTTTGAGTGTTTTGTGTTTCAGGATCAAGAATAGACCAGCAGAGCGTGATCGGGCCCTGCGAGCGTCGC